GTTAATCGATTTGTAAGGATTTTGGTATAGAGTTTTTTGATGTGTTCGATTAGACTGATTGGTCTGGTGTTGTTGAGGTTTCCACGAATTGAGGTTTTTTAGAAATAGGATAAATCCTACTGTCTTTCCATTGTTTAGGAATATTTTAGGTATTGATACATCTGTTTAGGAGTGCAGTAATGGCTTGTAATATATTGGGTCCAATATGTTAATCATTTCGTAGCTGATCCCTGATGGGCCGCATGCTTTATTATTAGGTAGCTGTTAAATTGTTTGTATGACTTCTTCTATACTGATTTCTCTAAGTACAGAATTATATCATTCTATTCTTATTTCTGGTTTAGGTTGATACTCAGTTTTCCAATCTTGATCAAAAATTGTAGTGTTGTATAGATGATGTGCTGTCTATTCGTTATAATAATTTCATATATGTTGTTTAATATCATCTTGATTATTGATAATATCTGTGTCAGTCTTGATATTTTCGAAGTATACAGTATCCTTATGCTGATTTAGTATACAGTTTATTATTTTTGTTAGATTAGTTAGCAGTTGGTCACATCTTTTGTTTGTGGCTAGATTGATATGCTGTCTAAAGTGTTGTGCATTCTCAGAATTCCTTGCATTATATAGTGTTTTCTAATATTCTTTAGTTTCTCATACCTATAAGACAGATCTGATTGAAGTTGTGGTGGTGTATTAATGGTAAAGTTGTGTTTGATGTTAAGATTGTTAATTAGATCTAATGTATTGTCTGATAATGTAATATTTGTGTAAAATATTTTTGAACATGATATATTATATATCCAATTGTCTTAAGATCTTTGTGAAGTTGTGTTGCTTTGGGGGTGAATGAGTGAAAAAAGTTTTTTGTTATGATTTTCCTGTTAAGTATATATTGGTATGCTGAATTAATAATACAGGTTTGTATTTTATGCCATGTCTTTTCAAGAGATTCTGTTGTGTTAGTATTGATAGAAACTTGGTGTGTATCCATATTTAAATTGATTTGATCCGTAAAGGATTCACAGTTTTCTTTAGACATTGACTTGCAGTTAAATACTTTCTTTTACATTTGAATTTTTGGTTGATTCTAGAAAGTGCAAATGGGAATAACCAGGTTGAGATTAGGATTTGATGGTCACTGTTTGTGGAGGATGATAAATTGTCTATTTCGAATTTGTGTAAATATGGTATTAGTATATCACTAGCCCATATGTAATCGATTCTAGTTTGATATCGAGTACTTTGCCAGATGTGTTGTAAGTTATTTGTGTGGTCAGCTAAGTTGTACATATTGGTGCTATGTAGGTAGTTGAGTAGTTGAAATTTAGTAGATGATAATATAGTTGTGTCAGTATTTGCATTAAAATCACCAAGAATTATTGGATGTAGGTTTAATGCTATAGCTTTTTGTATCTATATTATAACTTTGCTTTGTGTTAATTTATAATATATTATATTAGTTGAAGAAAGATAGACAGAAATAATTCGAAATTTGTGATCATTTTTGAAAAATAGATCTATTGCAATTGCACCTCCTGGGTGGTTGAGGATATTGTAGATATGGAGTTGGAGTTGCTTTTGAATTATGATACATGTGCCTTCTTTGGTATCTGGTAAGTTTGACCAGTAGTAGGAGTAGTGATCTGTATTAAAGAATTTTGTATTTGTGTTATTAGAGATTTTGTTTGGTAAGACTGATTATATATAAGTTGTGGGTTAGGCAGTAGGTTTCCCAAAGAAATCGTTTCTCTGGCATATTGTATCCTTATACATTGTAAGTAGCAATATTTAGATATAGAGAAGAGTTAGAGTCCTGTAGATTCTCTGTAGATATAGTTTGGTTGTTATGATGGTAGTTGATAGTATTCTGAGTAGGTGAGTGAATTGGTTCTATTTTATTGTCTAAAAATAAATTATTTTCAATGTTTGGTGTATTAAACAGGTGGGTTAAAGAGGCAGAATATGTGGTAGTATATGTTTTAAGTGGGGTTTGTAAAAATTTTTTAATTGTTTTAATAGTGTCACAATGTATTTCAGTACCCCAGGAATTCGTGGCGCCGGGTTCAATTTGGATCTGGGATTTGCATGAATGGCGTGATCGTAATGCATGAAATTAATTTAAAGTTTAATTGTAGAATTGCATAATGCGTATAACCCAGATAATAATATATCCGGCAATAATCTTTGTATTTAAATTGAGTGATCTAATAGTAATAAAAAAACTAAATTAAGTTTAGCTTTAGTAATAAGCATTCTTATAATACACTGTGTGGTCGTCATCGTAGTAGTAAAGGTGACGAAGTAAAGTGGTGGTAGTACCTGGGACTTTATCCCATTCTATGTGTATAGCCAAGTGGGTGGAAATTCAAATTGGGAAGGAACGAAGACCCTGTATACCGTAAACATATTTGACACAAGGACCTGGGCAGATGAAGGTTCTAATCGCAGAATTCGTAAAGGTAGACTTGTGCTGTGTGAAGGAAGGTTCTAATTGTTGAACTCAAGGTTCCTGGCAGCAATTATATGTGATTAAAGTAATCAAAGAAAAAGAACATTGTTAGTAGTCATAAATGAAAAAAAAAAAAAAAAAAAAAAAACGAACATTACCGAAGAGGATGGAAGGTGAAAATCGTTTGTTGTGGTTAGTTGACAGCATGATCAGGTTAGTAGTTGAAATGGTAAAGACTTTGAAGAAACGAAGGATAAAAAAGAAACAATACAGACCACGACTATGTTATGAATGCCGAAGGCCAGGACACTTAGCTAAAACTTGCCTGAAACGAAAGAGCCAAAGTTCAAGAAGTTGTAATGTAGAGGATGATGATTCTAGCGCATTGTTGGTTGACATAAGGCATATAGAATTAGCAAGGAAAATGGCGAATGACATTGAAAGTTCAAGAAAACACTTACATAATAAAGGAAATCAGATTAAAAAGAATGATCATAAGGTATTCATTTATTGTCAAAGATCCGCAGATGTGGGACATGGTGGTAAAACGTTCAATGTTAGGTATTATAATCGAAGAAGTATTAGGAGTAATGTGAATGTTAGAAGGGATAAATTAAGATTGAAGAGAGGGAAGGACGTTAGTGGAAGTAGTCAAAGTAACGTGAAAATGAAAGAACAAGCGAAAATTGGATACAAACCTGGAGATTTCAATAAAAGAGAAGAATTCCGACACCATCAAAGATCAGCAAAGACAAACTATGCTAATACAACATGCAATGATAGATCTTGCTATGAAAGAGGAAATGGAGTAAAGGAAGATGAAGATAGGGCATCCAGTTATTATAAAAAACCTGAAAAGATGGAAGAAGTTGAGGATTATTTAATGTCAGGAATTGCTATCAACATGGAACCAGTGTTGAAAAGAACAAAATTAAGACATTCGAATGGTATTTGAATTCGGCTGAAGGTAGAAAAGCGATGCAAATAGAAGAAGTAAGATCAAAGATTGTGTCTATCAGTAAAGGAGATGAATCTATAAATGTCAGAACTGATAGAATCGACGACGAAAGGGATGAAAATTGGATGCCAAGAATTGCCAGGAACCTGTTGACAGGACGATTGACATTGCAAATTGTCACCAAGATCGAGCAGTGATAATGATGGAAGCACCACTGGCTGTGGTTATGCAAATGGATGCTATGATGAAAGGTTTGTTGGAATTGCTGATGGAGACTAAACCTTTCAGTAACGATCCAAGCAATGAAAATGGTAAGGTTGATGTATATAAAATGGATGATGATGCAAAGAAAGAGGATGTGAAAGGAAATGCGACTGTTAATAAATGCGAAAAGGGAGGAATGTTTGAAGTAAAACATGAAAATGATGAATACAGACCTATGAGCAGTAATGAAACAGCCCTGGACTACGATGATAAGGTTGATTTCTCTGATAACGTTAGTAATAACGAAAGTGAAGTATTATACTATCATCAAAGAGACATTGATAATGGTGAAACTAATAGAACTGGCGTTGATGAAGCTGAGGATCAGAAGTCTACTATTTCTGAAGGTGAGACGGATATGCTTCAATGGTTTTGGGATGTTAATATTAGTTGGGATCAAGAAGGTTTTAATGATGAGAAGCTTGAATACTCACCTAAATTGAATAGTGAAGTAACTCTAGACATCGAATCTGCTGATAAAAGTTCGATGGTAAAAATGAACCAAGTAGTGATCCTGAAATGAGGAAGCCTCAAGTTGGTGACGTGATCAAAAGCATGATCGAAAGTATGGAAGTAAGGAAGGGATTGAGCCATGTACTATTATCTAAGTTCCATTGTGACGTCAAACGAGAATGGGATAGAAGTGGCATGCCTCGGACACAAAAACCTTGTGATGGTAATCCAATGCTGGTGTTGAATACATTGAATCGAATAAAGCAAAGAGGATTCTACAACCGTCTATATCTGGACCACATAATCGAATGTGATGGGTTGGAACATATACTGTTTGGAAATAGGATCGAAATGCACAAATTGGGACATTTGGACTTGCGAGTATGGTGATGCTATAGAATGCAAAAAAAAAAAAAAAAAAAATTTTTTTAGTATATGTACTGATTGAAAAGAAAGTGGTATTGCATTATTAGTGTATAGGTTGTTAGTTGGATATTGCAAATGGATGTATAAGGGAAAATTGTTTTTGCAGGGGTTGAAACTTTGGGAAGAAGTTCCGGGGGATCTAGCTTGTGTCACAGTGTATTTCAGTACCCTGGAAATTCGTGGCGCCGGGTTCAATTTGGATCTGGGAATTGCATAAATGGCATGATCGTGATGCATGAAATTAATTTAAAGTCTAATTGTAGAATTGCATAATGCGTGTAACCTGGATAATAATATATCCGGCGATAATCTTTGTATTTAAATTGAGCAATCTAATAGTAATAAAAAAAATAAATTAAGTTTAGCTTTAGTAATAAGCATTCTTATAATACACTGTGTGGTCGTCGTCGTAGTAGTAAAGGTAATGAAGTAAAGTAGTGGTAGTACCTGGAACGTTACCCCATTCTATATGTATAGCCAAGCGGGTGGAAATTCAAATTGGGAAGGAACGAAGACCCTGTATACCATAAACGTACTTGACAATAGTTAATTGAGTATGGTTTTGGAGTATGCTTGATTTATTGAGTAGTTATATATGTGCTTCGTGATGTGAGTTGTGTATAGAGAATCTCAGATCAGATTTAAAGTTTGCTGGTATGTTTTGTTGTAGATGTTGAATAAATGATGTGATTGTAGTTTTGGTTGTTATTGTTGATAGTTTATAAAATTGTAAGAATTTTGTTGTAGCATGTAGACAAGTTGCAGGGTTCTAAGGATGTTGGTTGCAAACTTGCCAGATTAGTATCTTTTATAT